GATTGGGCGACTCGTTTACCACCTTGACGACTCCAGGACAACCTTGGGACATCCATAGTCATGCACAAGCCCCCCCCAAACGACACACGTCTGACCATAGACAAATCACAAAGACGGACAAACTCTTGCTCGCGCCACTAGGCAACATTCTGGGCATCCTTCTGCGGAACTTCCTGGACCTAACCGGACTCCTTGCTGGTCACCTGGACCCTTATCAATCGGGTGGGAGGTCATTGAATGCGCAGTGCCACCCTTGCTCTCCAAGGGTAAATCGATGTTCGATACCACATAGAGGTAGAAAAAGTTCCCGCGAGTCTAACAAACCTACCTGGTTATCTACCTTGCCGAAGCCACGGCGGCTCTGACTGTAAACGTGACAGTGTGCGACTGTGCGCCAGATCTCCTTAACGACCAGAGGGATTCCCGTGGCGGTATCGTGATCGATATTGACAACGTGGACAACTTTCAGCCCTCCGACCCACCTAAGGCGAAAAGCCTTTGAAGCATCAAGATCCAAAACCCTGGCTTCCCAGAGTCCAAGGATCTACTGGAGAAGAGGGTGTTTGTACCACAGCCCTACGTATCGGCCCATTCAGCCTCGCGATACCACCACGCGCAGCTACGAGTAGGAGGAATTAGAATTGGGCACAGGGACCGGCTCTCTCTCTCTTGACAGTGATTCAGAATTTATGCACAAGTCATCATGGCCTCAGACTCCGCAACTGATCACCCCCAACCTCTTCCCGAAGTCGACCTCAAAACTTTCATTGCGCAAATGCCCAAGGCGGAACTGCACGTCCACCTCGAGGGCTGCCTCACGCCCGTTCTGGCCCGCTCGCTCGCCTCGCGGAACAACCTGCACCCTCCATCGTCGCTTTCCCACCTAGAACCCTCTCACCCGGAGGCAGGCTACGCGTTCAACGACCTCACGTCGTTCCTGCAGATCTACTACCCAAACCTCGCCGTATTGGTGACGGCAGAGGATTTCTCTGACCTGGCCCTGAGCTACCTGCGCACTGCGCACGCCCAGAACGTGAAGCACGTCGAACTTTTCTTCGACCCGCAAGCGCACACGTCGCGCGGCATCCCGTTTCCGACCGTGGTGGGAGGCTACCGGCACGGGATCATCACGGCGCAGCGCACGCTAGGCATCTCCGCGAGCCTGATCATGTGTTTCCTGCGTGACCACAGCGCCGAGTACGCCATGTCGACGCTGATGGAGTCGCTGCCGTTCAAGGACAGCATCATCGGCGTGGGCCTGGACAGCGACGAGCGCGGCAACCCCCCCAGCAAGTTCGCGTCCGTCTTCCAGCGCGCCGCCCGCGAGGGATACCTGCTCACCATGCACTGCGATATCGACCAGCCCAACATCCTGACGCACATCGGACAGGCGGTCAACGAGATCCAGGTCGACAGGATAGACCACGGCACAAACATCATTGAGTCACCCGAGCTGGTCGACACCATCAAGACACGCGGCATCGGTCTCACTTGCTGTCCAATCTCCAACTCGGTCGTCACCGCCGACTTCAAGGGCCGGGAAATCGTCAGCCTCTTACGACAAGGCGTCAAGGTGACCATCAACAGCGACGACCCAGCCTATTTCCGCGGCTATGTAAATGAGAATTTGTTGAAGATGGCTGAGGGAACCGATGTGACAAAGAAGGAACTGATCCAATTACAAAGAAATGCGTTTATGATTAGTTGGATCTCAAGTTGGCGGAGGACTCATTTCTTGCAGATGTTGGATGAATATGAGAAAAAGATATTAGGCCATGTAGAAGACAGAAGACCTCTAGTAAACGGGAATTGACGATTGATGAACTACGCCGTAACAAGCCGAGAACAGCATCCGATGCCGTGGAAAGGGTATCTTTACACTATAATTATAGAGTCCAAGACCTGAACTCACAGAGCATCCTGCCCGGGTCTTTTTCACAACCACTAATCCGAGACTTTCGTGGTGAAGTCAACCTCGCCAAAGAATGTCGCCCGCAACTGGACAACCGCTGCAATCTCGAGAATAAACTCCTGAAGAATAACAGCGTTGGTCAATATATGACTGAGACTGACTTGGTTCCTTTGGCTCGACGACCAGTCATCTTGACCGCTTGGAGTTACAGTTCCGGAATCACCACTTGTATCCAACATGGCACGTCCGACACCAGCAGGGCTGGAAGTTTGTTTGCGACCAGCGTGTACGGGTAAGGATTCAGAAGCCTCTTCCGGTGCCCTGAAATTAGATAGCGAAACTTGCGTTTTGAGAAGCGCGGTTGTTGGTGGTGGCACTAACGATGCCGGTTGCTGGTCTGATTCGTCGTTCTCCTCAGGTTCTGCTGGTACTGATTGCCGCAGGGGCGAATGACCGAGAGTGCGATCGGTCAGACTGCTCCGGTGCGCTCCAGACTTAGACAAGGCACTGTCGATGGATCCGAACTCCCTAGTGGTTATCTTTCGCCCTCTCGGAGTTGCTGGCCGTGATTGAGACTTCCCAGTGGAAGGCGAGACGCTTCTCAGACTTGAATCAGTCTCCTTCGTCTGCCACGACAAAGTCCTTGACTTTGGAGGGCTAGTGAGCGGGTCATCCTCCGACAGCTCCAGTCTTCGTCGGAAGATAAGCTCATCCCATTCGGGAAACTGTGAGCGCCATTGACGAACTTGCTCGATGAGTTCGCCAATGATGAAAGTAATGTTGAATGCAGAGCTATCTTCACTATTTGTCTCCTTCCCTGGGCACAAAAGCCACCCCTGCAGATTCATGTGTTCACAGGCAGCCAGCGCCATGATGGCCTCAGTCAGATAAAGATTCGTGACGGTGTCATTCGCGAAAAAGCTTCGTAGCAGTGTGAGGAGAGCTTCAAAGAGCTTGCAGTCCTGGGCAATAGACATGTCTCGTTCGTCCATTTCGTCTGTGTCCGCTTGATTCGTTGTGAGGCAGCTGTGCTGCTCCAGCAGGATCTGCTCGTCCAACAATGCCGCCCGGTATGAGTCATCCATTTCGGGGGTTTTGGCTATAGCTGCAGCATAGTCAAACAGTTTGAGCAAGGAGCTATTCAAACACTCGACTCCGCGTTGGCCTGGAGACACAGTAGTCGGTTCCAGCCTGAAAAGACTTGTCAGAACATGGAAGTGGTGATTCTCGATAATGACTGATAAGAGCTTGAGACAAGCATTGACGGTTTCCGAGTGACGAGATCTGAGGCTCATTACCATCAAGTCGAGGAGATTGAAAAGGTTCGGGGAAGGGCTATCAGCGACTTCTGCAAGGGCTCTCAAGTGATCAATCGACTTCCGCCTGCTAACCGACATTCTCTGTCTTCGGTGGCTCTTTTCTCGCGGTCCGCGAGGCATGTTTGGAGACGCCAAAAGGTAGCGCAAGATACGATCCACAAGTTGACGGTGATCAAGCGCTAGTAGGATCCGGGAGAGGTGTGTTATAACCGCGGCGGTAGAGCCACCCTCGACATCTGATGACTCCAAGAGCGAAGGGTAGAGGAGCTGTTGGACAAAGAGCACCTGAAAATGATCAAGTAAGGTGTCGCTGACCTCTGCTGACTTGCAATGGTTCAGGGTGTCCTGCCAGAATGCCAGATAAGTGAAGAAGGCCTTAATATCTTGCTGAAGGAAATGCGACACTGCCGTGAGTGGAGCAAGCGTTTCTGAGCGGTCTGACAGGCAGACAATGGGAGGTGCGGCAGCCTGTCCGCTAAGAGGAGTCGATTGTCTGCTGAGCCGGCTGTATAGGGCACCAAGACCACTAGCCATCTGGGGAGCCAGGTCACTCTCGATCATCCATGTTTCCAACGGTTTGAATCTGGAGGCGGTTTCCGTCAGGTATAACAACGCCGTGCGGGCAAAGTCGCCCACTGGCCCATCATGGTGGACATACTGCACCAGAACATGGAACAGCGGGAATTGACTTCTCCTAGAGTCGTCTGCAACATTGCGGCCCCGTGTTGCTTCTCGGTCCGGATAGAACCAAGCTGGAAGGATGCCTGGGTCCAGCCTGATCTTGGTAGCAATCTCAAATAGTAGTTCCACCAGGTCTGTTTCTAGACGTTCTTCGACGATGATTCTTCCACCTATTGTCGCAAAGCACACTAGATCTAATAAAGACCTCGTGAACAGTTTGCTGTCCAGCAACCCTTCGGCCTCGCCATTGATGAGGATATGGAAGAGCTGTGCAGAGGACTTGATAATTTCAGTGTTGGCAGAGGAAACGGCGAGCTTGGTGATTATGATGTACGTTTGACTCGACGCGACATAGCGTAGGCAGGAGTGCGGTGCGGCTCTGCGCGACTCGTCGTGAAGAATACCTTCAAGGCGTTGTAGGAGTTTGACCGTGTAAGTCACAGCGGCTTCATCGTCGCGCTCGACGCTGCCGCTGCGCCAGGTGTGCTTCACAGCGTCAGCGTGACCACCCTCACAGAAGGGGGTGGGGCTCCCTCACCGTCAAGGCATTGCAGATGCTCTTACAAGACGCAAGGCGCTCTGTAGGTGTATTTGTCCTTGGTTTTGTCTGGTACGAGCCAGTACCAGCAATCAGGCGAGTGAGCTAGCCAGCCATCTTCACGTTAGACTGCGCAACTCTCGCGTGGCATGCATATTGGGTAAGCAACTCACGATATCCATGCCCTTTGCCTCATTTTGGTGCGATCATTGGGATAACAGGTATGATTTGCTGGCTATGGCGAAGGTAGAATCCCAGAGTTATGGATGAAGAAAGAGCTTGAATCTGTGATGGTCAGAGGTGTTATTAGCTGAGACAAAACTAACCCGCTTGTTTGGTCGTGACTTCCTGGTGGAGGCCAGCAGCTGCCTCTCTGCCGGACACTTGATAGATACAAAAAAAACGCCCTTCCCTTGTTCTCACTTTCTCCTTCTCCATTCCAAAAGTCCAGAATCACTAGGTAATGCCTTTTGTTGCTGTCAGGTTTGGTGGAAGTGGAACTAGCAGCTCTGGCCCTTGAAGTATAGCCCAACTGGGACATTTCTACCCGATGGAGGTCCCCTCAAGTCCAAGTGCGGCAAACGTGACCTTCAAGTCCTCTACAACACCCGAAGCTCGAGCACATGAGCGGGAATCTACCAAAGACGGGGGACTGGATGGTATATACACCCAGCCAGGATCCTTCCACGCCGCCAGTGGCCTCAAACCAACCAAAACGCATACTGGATTCTACTCTGAGCACGGCCACTCTTTGTCACACATCCGACCCATCACCAAACATCCTGGTTCATCGGTCACAACGTTCTTCAATGGGGTATTCAGAACCGTCATCGGCATAGCGACACTGGGCGCGAGCATCACCTTCTCCTACGTCTTGTCCAACAACACCTCCACCCCTCGAGCGAGAAAGCCAGTCTTCAACGTGGACCAGATCCAAGAATTCCTAGCCATCAGCTGGCTCCTGTTCCTTCTAGCGTTGGCGATTGCCTCACTCGGCTCGACTATCTTGACCTTCTTCAAAGACCACTGGATGGCGGACTGGGATGGGCTGAATGGGAAGACTTCGCAACGAAGTGTTCAGAGGTATGCTATCTTCGCTGCTGGTCTGATGGCCGCTCTTATCATCGGAGCTTTCGTGCTGCTATGCCTGGTGGTGGTTGCATATACCGCTGTGGTCGGGTGGGTTGCCTTGGGGTTTACCAGTCTTTTTGGAGTTATCATCCTTCTGGCACTGATAAATCAAGCTCCATGGCCCTGGCGGAATAATACGCCGTCTCCGAGCCCAACACATCGCATCGCTGGAGATCATGGCGGAGGCGATGGAGAGGAAGCAGCGTGATGGGCCTTCAAGAAGGATATTTTGTGCGATGGAATTGCGGGAGATTGTTCGCGAGGTCCATGTGTTTGGTGTTGTCTTTTGCCGAGGACTTCCCCCGTCAGAACGCTGCACCCTTTCCTTTTGCAACTCCAGATGCAGCATAATACACGGATGGTTGATATCATCTTCATAATCATACAAATTTCTTCATAGCTCATCGAGCGAGGGGGTTTCACATCAGTCACTTTCATCGTCAGTCCCCGCTTTCCGCTTCTTGCCTCCCTTCCCCTTCCCTTTGGGCTTGATGTCTTCTTCGCTATCTTCACTCTTGGCCTCCGACTTGGCCCCTCCTTTCTTGGAGCCTTCATCAGGAATGGCCTCGCAGATGTCGTTCAAAAAGTCGAACTGACCATCTTTCATCAATGCAGCCTTGAGATGCTGTGCTGTGACTCTTTTCGAGCCGTTTGCCCTTGCTTCGGTCGCGCCCTTGGAGACTAAGGTGATCATGAAAAGCTCCAGTGCTTTGGCTGTGTAAATGTCAGAGGAATGGCCAGGGGCCACGGAAATAGAACGAAGAACTCACAAACTGCTGTGGGTGTAGCTTGAGCGACCTTGCCCACATCCTCGTCTGCTTGCATGATGCGCTTGATGCGGGCAACGGGGAACTTGGTCTTCACGTCGATCCCAAAGGAAGGGTCTGCCGTGGCGATGGGCATGACTGGTTGTACTGGCTGAACCTGCTCTACCTTGGGCTGGATGGCGTTTCCTGGGGCGTTGAGACTGTAGTCTTGAGCCTGACCCAGTGCCTCAGCGGCTCTTTGTTGCCGCGTTCGAGGCATCTCTCCGTAAGGTGGAAAGGGAACAGAAGACTGTTCTGGATGAATTTGGTATGGTCGATGAGAGTAGTGGTGGGATGGCGGTGGACTACTGTATGGCTGACCTGAAGGTCGAAACTGATTTAGTGGAGACTGTTGAGTTGAGGTCTGACCGGGCAGGCTCGGAGTGCGGAAAGCGTGCGAAGAAAGGTTCACCTGAGAGCTTTGGGTTGGAGGACGCGAGCCAAAGTACGACGTCGAAGGGGTTGTGGATGTCGCTGTCGAAGGTGAGAAGAAAGGCGAGGCGTCGTAGCTGCCTCGTGGACTGAATGAATAACCCGAAGGGAAATTTGAGTCTGGTGCGTGGTAGCTTGGGATTCGGGTTAGTCTGGGCAGTGGGGCGTTGGTATTGATGAAGCCTGATAAATCTGGACTGGAAGGCCGGTATGATGACTCGGAGTTGGAGTTGGCGTTGTCGTGTTCTTCATTCATTGCTCAGCGAATGAAGGGTGCAGCTGGGTGATAGTGCCAATGGTGCAGGGAAGCCGGGGTAATATTTGTTCAGGACTAGTATTGATGATGGTGCGGCGGAGTGTGAGTGGGCGACAAGTCATTTTGGATGTACAAAGGAGCGTGTCTGGTTCATGTTGTTGTTACTTGTTGCTGATGGTAGTCACAATATACAGACGGGTGAAGAAGGAAGGGCTGGTCGCGACGTGTAAGGTCGAGCCCGTGGATAGCAGTGGTGAAGTGATGGTAACGGTGGTACCTGGTATGTACCGAGTACTGGGAGATTCAATACAATGACGACAAGCACCAACGGCAGTTAGTGGCAGTAGCTTGTACAAGTAGCTGTTAGTGAGAACGTGCCCGGAGAAGGAGGAATGTAAATCCGAAGAAGTGCGAGTACCAAGTCACTACGAGTAGTGGGATTGAGCATCTGAGATTCCGGAAGGGCGAGTCATGCAGTTCGAAGACTTGCAGCTGAGGGGTCAGAGGGGCCTTATAAAAGCCCGCGTCACCATTGCCGCATCCGCTGATCAGATCAACAGGCCCTGTAGCCGTGCAGGCCCAGGCCACTAGGCGTCGGAAACACGCTAAATTTGTGGCCCAATCATGCGAACCACTTGCAACAGTGCCTGGCAGTGCCCAAGAGGCCAGTTTTTCCGAATCCACAATTGTCAATCCCACACCTGCGCAAACTCTGCTGTCTTCCTCTTCCATCTTCCTTCATCGAAAACCTGATTGGCGGATCCAGTCCATCACACTTTGCCATCTCCCCTTTTCGACGCCAATCGAACAATGCATGGCGGTCATGGCGACGGCGATAGGAAGGCCACGGCCATCACAGCGACAATCCACTTTTCTACATCACCATTAACACTAATCGTTTCTCAGACGCGCGTCGATAAACACGCGTGCTCTTCGACAGGGACAAAATGGGCCACCGAATGACTGAGAGTCTGCGGAAGACACTTGGAATACCTACACCTTCTTGAATCATCGCTTGCCAAATGATGACAGAGCAATCTGGAGGTAGCCGTTGGAGACAAGATCGCAACGCAACAACCCAGTCAGCGCGGCCGTGGTCGTTGCTTCGCACGTCCAACTGTTGTCGATGAAAGACCTTTCCAAACTTGATCTAATCTGATGGCATGCTTCGAAGACAAGAGGCAGGGGGAATGCACTGTTACAACTATAACCTTGATGCCAGGCTTGAGGACAGAATGAAGTCGGTCATGACATCGAGGCCCTGCAGGCGTTCGTCTCGAGTCCCTCCGAGGAACAAATTCACCACAGGCCAGGCATGAATGCCTGCTTCCTGCTCATGGACTTTGACCATGGCGCCGTTTTTCTTCATGTGGTCCACCATCTCTTGGATCCCAGGACCAAACACCTCTTCAGCCCCGTATATGATCCGAAACCCGTTCGGCGGCGACGCTTGTTTCCAACGCCCAGTACAGAGTCCGGGTGAAATGACCCCATCCGTCATGGTTGCCTCTCCTGCATATTGCCTTGCGTACAGATGCAGGCTGTTTCGATCCAGATAGCAACTGGGCGTATTCTGGTTCAAATCCGACACAAGATGTGTCCAAGGCGAAAGGAGTATCGCCAGACCTGGTCGATGTAGCGATTGGTATTGAGGATCTTGCTCGAGATGACCAGGCTGGAGCAGCATGCTTAGGACAAGTGTTGCTCCCGCCGAGTCACCGCTCACACAGATTTTGGCTGCTGAGCCATTCCCGAACGTCTCTCGAAGAAAAGTATACCCTGCCCGGGTCTCATTAAATTGGACCGGCCAGTGCGCATCCGGGACGAGAGTATATTCCAAAGCAAATACGGCTGGGTTTTGGAAACCACTTTCTTTTAATCGAGTTGCCCAGGCCATCAGGAACTCGATATAGAAATATGCTGAACCCATGGAGAATCCACCGCCTGCGAGAGAACATCAGCTGACCTTGGAAGTATGAAAAAGATGTCTTCTCAACAACTGACCATGAGCATAGTAAATGATGATGTCCGGGTCGCAGTCTGGATCGTCGACGATCCAAAGACCTTTGGCGCCATGTCTGATGACTTCCCGATAAAACATCGGGCAATACAGGTATCCGTGTCGCAACAGACGAAACCGAAAGAATGGATATGCGACCCATTTGCAAAAGAACACTCGCCCTACGCGGGCAGGGATTTTTGCAAAGGCGTATCGCACGCAGCGAATAACCACGTCCTGGAAGAGCGTGGCATGTCGGGCGAAAGGTGATCGAAGGTTATCTTTGGTGTAATATCGTTCATGTATAAGTTGGTATGGGAGTTGGAAAACTGTGGGCGGTGATCAGTATACTTTTGCGACTTTCAGAAAGCGGTGTTTTCCGCACTCAAAAAAGGTATTACTCTGACTATCACACCCAGAAGCTCGCCGAGATCTACCTGGTAAAGCAGTTGCGGAAGTAAAAATATGACAAAAGCGACGCAATCAATTCCATTGATTGGTCCCAGGATCATCCTGGTCTATCTGGAATTTTGTATTTGGCGACTAGTGGGATGTTGAACCGGTTTATATATATGCTCTTCGTGTCCCGTCTCACAGAATTGTTCAAACTAGATGGATAAGATGATTTAAGAGCCCGCGGGGAATTTATTAGTAGAGTGCATTCTAAGGAGCAGTGTAAGAGTAGTCGGAGGGTCTATTTGTGTAAACACGTGTCGATGATTGAAAGCGAACAACGAACTCACCCAATATTTTTGGCGGGCGGCGCAGCCGAGAGATTTGAGATTTGGGGTCAAATGGCGCTAGCTTCATTGGCTCTAGCGTAAGCTGGAGAGGCCAAAGAGACTCGTTGCAGCCGCGACAATCCATTTTTCGCCTTTTGGAGGCTTCTTCTAGGCTCTGGTGGCTCGGTGGCTCGCAGGCTGCCTCCCGGCTGCACAAAAACATCACCGAAAACTTCCTCCCCCATCACCATCACCACCACCATCCGTCCTTGATATGTCTTACGCCTTTACTTCGATATACTTGCGAATTTATGCCATTTAGAGTCCAGCGATTGTGTCACACAGGACCGGCGACACCCCTGCCTGTTGTCATCTAATGGCGTTTGATCTTTCCATTCCTTCGTCCAACTTACAGGCTTGGTGCACTCCGACACGGTCAACAACAGCCACTCCGTCGCCGCACCAGATTCCGACATGGCCGCCGTTGCATTAGACATGACTATGACCAATGTCCTCAAGTATGTTTTGAGATTTCAGGTATCTGGCCTTCCACGCTGACTGACTTAGTTCTTTGGACTTGGACAAAGTGCCCGAGAAACTAAAATGCACGCGCTGCCACAACTTCAATCTAAATCCCTACAAGACCTCTTGCTGCGACGTCGGCATCTGCGAATCATGTGAGTGACATCGTGGTATCATCCTCTTGCCACTTGGCTCATACCAGACAGGCTTCAGCTCTACCCGCGGCTCCAGTTGTCCCAAGTGCGAACACAGACCCTTTACGGACGACATCTGCAAGCCCAGTAAGGCCATGCAAAAGACCATCAAAGTGTATCTCAAGACGCAAGAGAAGACGAAAGTGGATGAGCGGACCAAATCAGATGTACAGGACGAAGCGGTCCTCTCACCAGATGCGGGCAAACCGATCTTGAATGGCGGCAGTCAAACAGACGGGCCCGCGGCAGGAGTACCGGAGGAGCAGCGACCAGCAGATGCGGCAGAAAGTGAAGAAACGCCTGCTCTAGACGTCCAACCGTCAATTGAGGTAAATTCCCGATCTACCATCCTTTGATGAACGCTTTTTCTGATCTTCGCCTTAGGAACCTGAGCCCGAACCAGCCGATAACGACGACGATATTGAGATTCAGGTAGAAGCAGAGGATGAGAGTCAGCAACCGATTCCCCACCGAGTAAAGAGTGCAGAAGACACTCCTCAACCCCAACCCGCCAGTTCGTTCGAGATCCAACGGAACTCACAAGACGTGATCAAAAACAACGCGGAGGGTTTCAGTGGCATGGACTTTTCAAACATGATGAATGGATTCGGCAATATGGATTACAATCAAATGATGCAAATGATGGCGGCAAACGGAATGAGCTTCAATCCTATGATGGGTGAGCTGACCACGGTCACCAAGCATGACCACCTTTTCTAACTGCGCTGTCCAGGAATGCCTATGGGAATGAGTCCAATGTCAGCTGGCATGTTTGGCGGATTTGGCGGTCCAAACGGAGGCATGAACATGAATGGGATGAGTGGCATGAACATGGCGATGAACTACAATGCCAACCAAGCGATGTATGGCTGGGATGGCCAGAACAACAATATGTGGCAGAATAATAATGCAAATGCATTCTCGAATGGCATGGGCAATGACTTCGGTTCCAACTATGGTTTCAATATGGGCCCGTCTGGCAACTTTCAACAGCCCTATGCCTCTGGTGACTTTCAAAACGGTTACTACGGCCGCGGCTATGGCAGAGGTCGTGGTCGTGGTCGTGGCGGCTTTGCGAGGGGCCGTGGTAACTTCAATCAATACTCGCAGTATCACCAACAGGGTCATCAGAGCTGGTCTGGCCAAAATCAATTCGATAACCGCAATGTGCAGTCTCACATGTTGCAGACTGGCTCCACTGAAGCAGTCGCTGATGAAGAGCGCACCGACTACAACGATCTTGTCGATGAGAATCATGACGATGATGAATTCGCTCCCGGTGGTCAAGAAGAAGTTCAAGAGGCCCTTGGAGACGACTACCAGAAGCCCGCTGCCGTCGAGAAGACTCCTACTACCTCTACGCCTGAAGCTTCCGCTGTTGCAGATGATGAGGTTAAGAAAGAGGCAGAATCTGCACCAAAGGATGATTCCTCGGGTGTTGATAAGGTGACTGTCACTGCCGGGCAGGATCAACAGGACATTACCGAACAACGGGTTTCTGAGCCTGTGACAGCGGCTTCAGCACAAGAAAAGCCAATACCAGAGGCATACAACGAGGATCTTCAAGGGCCGATGCCCCCACCATCGGCGCCGCTTGGCCCCTCGGCTCATTATGGTGATCATCCCTTCCGCATTCGAGGACATGGTAGATTCTCCTCGCGCGGCCGTGGGTCGATGTCGATGCCAAATGGTCATATTTCTTCACCAGTAAAACCCTTCCCGCAAGCCGGTTCACCCCTGGAGCCAAAGGGGGTGGGGGTTGTGGGTGCGCCAACGGGTCCTAGAGCGATGCGTGAACCACCTGTTCCTGGGAGACCCGCTTCACGTCCTGCAGCATCCGGGTTCCAAATCATGGGAAGAGCATCTATGGCAGCATCCCATCAGCGATCAGAGTCTCGAGATATCGAGAGCAGCCGTAGCAAGACCCCCGACAAAGACAGGGACAGATCCAGACGGCAGTCCATACAGGACAAGTACGTCAATGCGAAATATGAAGGAGACGAGCAAGAGGAATCAGATTATCGTGGTTCCGACAAGCCTTCTAGAAAATCATCCCGGCGTGGCACCTACGATGACTATGACCGAAACGAGCGAGAAGCTTCCTATGCGGAATCGGATTCTGGGGATTACAAGTCATCATCGCGGCGCAGTCGGGGAGATAAGGAGAGAGCATCAAAGCAGCAGTCATCCCGCTCCTCACGGCGATATCACGACGAAGAGGTGAACGGGGACCACGAGATGGACGACTACGATGATTCGACAAGGTCATCGAATCGAGACGGCTACGAGGGAGAAAGCAGGAGCAGGCACCGAAGTAGCAAGTCATCTAGATACGACGACCGAGATCGAGATCGTGACCGTGACCGTGACCGTGACCGCGACAGAGATCGAGACCGAGATAGAGATCGTGAGAAGACCCGGACTAAAGACCGAGATCGCGAGCATCGAGACGACAAGCATAGAGATCGAGACCGAGAACGAGACCGCGACCGCAAGCGCTCTCGACATGACCGCCACCGCGAAGACAATGACAAGCATCAAGAGTATGACTACGACTACGACTACGATCAGGAGAAGGATGAGACCGCTGAGGAGCCCGAGTCGCGCCATCGCTCACGGCGCCACAAGAAAGACCACCGCCGCGATGTCGAGGATGCCAATGGGATGGACAGTTCAGTAGTCAATGGACACTCACAGTCTCACCGCTCCAGTGCCACAGGAACGCCGGCGCCAGCGCCAGCACCGTCGACGTCGACGTCAGCTCAAGCAGAAGAAAAAGATCCCCACACGCTCGAGCGCGAAGCAAGGAACCGCGAGCGCATGCTCAAAGAACAACAGCGGCGTGAGAAAGCGGCCAAACAAGCCTCGTCGTCGTCTGGTGGCGGGAACACGGGTGGCAGGAGAGTCACGTACAAATACGAGGATCTCGAGAGGGGGCTTGTTGAGGGCGAGAGGGAAAGCCATGGGAGACGGTGGAGGTAGTGTCGCCGGTGCCACAGCATTGACTGTGCCTCGGGAAGGCTTGGACCATTGCATGATGACCGATCTGAGACGAGATCAGAATGTGGTTGCTGACAGCCTTCCTTTTCCCTAGTTTTTGATCTTCTATGTATTGTGCTGGCTATCTGTGCTGGATTGATTCGGATATCCATGTCTTCCTTTGCTAGATGGGTGAATGGACGGCTGGGTAAAAGATTTCGGGAAAAGAAAAAGAAAAAGGATATGAAATGGGGAGGGCGGTATAGGAGTTAGCAGTCCAAGGCCAGGGACACAGTCTCTCTCAAAGACTCAGGCATGGGATTCAGGGAGCAAGGGCGGAGAGGTTGCTCCATGCTCAATGCTAAGTGCTCAGTGCGAATTCTACGACCCAGGGATAGTGAGGGGGCTAATAGGGCAATGCTGTGTAGTCCGAGGGCAAGTCCACCACATCAATGTCTACTTCTCTCAACGTTGCGTCCGGTCCCGTTCGTCGCTCACTATTCTCATGAATCAGTATTTAGGAAGCTGTATTATTATTTCGGTTCACGAATTCGATGGCCATCGTTCTCGCTCTCGTTCTCGGACGTCTGGTTTGGCTAGGCGGTGACGGACTGTTGGATGCTGAATACCAGGTATGGGTCCATATGCACGGTCGAGGGGCTTGTATATATAATCCATTTATTTAGTAGCGCGTTGTTTGAACCGCCACCGCCTACCACCACATTCGGGCTCTTCCCTCGGCAGGCCGCCCTCTCTTCGAGTAGCAGGAGTAGCAGCAGCATGCTCCAAAGCCGTCTCGACACATGCACAGGTAGCCTTTGCGGGTGCAACACTAAGATTGCTGTTAGCCAGAGCGGTTCCTCTTCACCAGGGGTTTGGATTCTGACCTTTCGATGAGTTATGTCGCAAATATATCGAATCATGTCGGGGTATGTTGTCATCGTGAGCAAGCATGAGGTAAGAAATATTGTTCCGAGATACTTCCGGTTGTCTCCCAAGAAGAGTCGCGGGCAAAGATTCCATTATGAATTAACAGTCCGTCTTGAGCGTACGTGATAGTAATACCTTCGTGAACCTTTCCGTTGCTGATGGCAAACTCATCCAGTCGACTCACTCATCTTGCCTTGTCATCGCCTTCGAGACCTCGTCCACATAGCGACAAACTCGATTTTCTCCTTGACCCCCAGTCCCACTCTCTTGACACGTCCTAACCTCGCCAATGACTCGGCAACCTTGTCCAAGAACGCTCTTTCCTCCTTGGTGATGGACATTTCTTGGTCTTCCAGGCCACTGCCGACAAGTGTATCTGCATCGCTACTGGCTCCACCGTCTGACGAAACCAACGTGTCGAAGTAATTGGCAGTGTACGAAGAGGCTACCTTTGCTGCAGTAGACCAATCTGCATCGGAGGACTTTCTGCTATTATAAACAGCCTCGGCAATGCGGATTCGGAGACAATGGGACGGTCTGCTGCAGAGATTCCAGAGAAAGGTCAAGAAAGCGTGCGGGATGGGTGTCGTGACGTCTGCGGGGCTGTACCGGAGAGAGACGGGGAACACTTTCGTCCGTGGAGGAGTTGCCAGCAGACTTGGGCTCATGGGCAGGATGCCTCTACCATTGGTTGTGGTGCATTCGGGAAACACCACCACAGCTCGGCCTGGATTTTGTTTCAGCATCGCTTCAATGTCCATCAGTCTTGCTCCCGGTGGCGGCGCCAGCTTTGGATGAGAGAAAGTCCGGCAGATGGCTGTAAACAAAGATATAGGTTCCACCAGCCTCGTGTAGGGGTAGGTAGCTGCGAAGACCGGGTCGAATATGGCGGCCAGATACAAGGGGTCAATGGGTGAAGCGCTCGAAGAAGCAATGACCGAGCCTTCTTGAGGAATCCTCGTCTTGTTCTGCGCCAGAGACCTGCGCGACATCAGCACGTGCTTCAGCGACACTCTTGTGGTCATACCCTTTCTTCACCCCGTCGATTTGCAGATCAATCCACCATATACCGGGTATGCCCAGTATGCACCATAGAGAAGCTTTTCTGCCCAGAATCCCGATAGGCATCCATTGTAGAACGAGAAAGTATGAGAGCGCAAAGATCAGAAGTAGCGGCACACGACAGATCAAGAGGAAGATGTGCAATGGTAGAGCGAATCCAGCAGGCTCGGCTGGGATGGGAAGGAATGGAGCGATGCCAGACCCTAGGAACTCAAATCAGCACATGTATCCATTTGTTCTCTGGTTGCTGAAAGATAATACCTTTGTCACGAAACTGCGAGAACTTTTCCATCTTTTTTCCTTGGAATGTTTTGCGCAGTGGCGCGGAGTCCGTAGAAGAGATCGCAAAAGCGCCGCAAGAGTGTCAAAGGCCAGAAACACGACAAGAGCACAGGGACAACATAGCAATACAGAGCTGAGTGAGAAATAATTGGGAGGTCATCTGTTCATGTTTTGCGGGTTGAACGGCTGAACCAACACCAGGCGACTCAGGTGAGGTACCGGTACCTGTGCCGTCAAGGTTTGGGAAATGTGTCGAGATGGGAGCAGGCGACAGGGAGACCAAAGAACAAGGCTTCCTAGGCTTCCTAGGCTCCGGCTGTGAATGACATTTGTGTGGATACAGGAAGCCTCTGATGCTTTGGGCGATATGGTGATCAAGTTATTAGGTGGTAGTGAGAAAACGCAGCACATGCACATGCCACTGCAGCCCAAACCATGACATTGGCAAAATGCGGTCACTCGCGCTCACTGCGCTCACTATGGTGGGTGGTCGGGGGACCAACAGGCTTGGCATCCATCCCCCTTCAACCTCCTCAACAGGCAAGCATGGCAACAGGGCAGCAGGGTACCTTCTTTGCACATGCACGGGTCCTGGCTCTCTCTGCCTCTTGTTCGGTGGGAGGGTTCTTGATGTACTTGTAGGGGAAGAGACCATGTGAGTGGATTGCATGTGAAGTGTTCCCAACACATTCTGTTAGTTCGGCCTGCTTCACCACCGCGTCAACAATCAACTGTCAACTGTCAGCCGCCTACCGAGTACTTGGGTCTCATTCGGCAGGCGCCTTGTTCCCTTGCCATGGCATGTGGCATGGCGGACATCATATCCAAACTTTTCCATCGACCCACCTGCAGCTTTGCGTGGGCGAGCCTTGCATGATAGAGGGCCAGCCTGATCCGGACGTCGCGGTTCCACCCGGGATGAGAATCACACTGTGATGCCCCTGACCAGCGCTTGGTATTGGTATTGTTGCAATAGACCTGTACCTTCCTCAAGGTCAGGCACTGATGAATGAAGAGTTTTCAATGTTGGCAGGTCCTATTCATGATCAAAGCAGGAACGATGTGTGATCCGTCGAGGAAACTCCCTTGGGCGAGACGACATTACTCTAACGGCGCACCAAAGCGCTCTATTTGACGCGCTGTTAACTATGCTGCACTGATTTCTTCACTTTCTCAGACATTGTCCGCGCCTTATCCAAGCTGTCTGATCCAGGAAACAAACAAATATTACCTTGTTACAAAGCGTGACATCGTGCGAGTGTGACAACGCCGCCTCGGGAGGGATAGCATGCTCGGAGAGACTTGATCAGATATCGATTGACGATCACTCAGCAGGGCAACTCGGCCTCATAACCATGTCTCCTTTGGAAGAAAGCCAAACCCCTGTCACTGGCCATCCCAACAACCTCCGGTTAGCTCAGTCAGATACCACTCACCAACCACCCCAAAGTGTCAAAACCGAGGCCGACGACAGCGACCCCCCCGCGCCTGACATCCTTCAGTTTCTCTCCAACAAAGAATTCACTGCCTGGAGCGAATACCTGGGCAAGGAGAAACACGAGGATTACATCCAGTGGAAGAAGAGTATGATCGGCGAAGGTCACCTGCAGACGATAAATGAGAATGCAGGGATTGAGAACAAACAGAGGGACGACAAGAGACCCGAGATCGAAGAAGCGCCGGTCTCTGGCCTCGACGGCACGAATCAGGAGAAGACGCTTGAGAGGGAGCAGGAGCAGGATTCGACATTTGGGATCAAGGAGAAGCACATTGTCTCAGAAGAGAAAAAGGAGAACTAATGGCTGATGGCATTGAGGAACGACCGGTGGCAGTTGTCAACCCGGTACAGATGTGATGTGCAAAAAGGAGGCAGATGCGCGCACGATATCCCGACGTCAACATCTCGGCTTAACCTTCCTCCATCCTCCCTTCTGCCATGCTCCTCCTCATCACGTTTTGTAGGCTCCCTGTGTGGTCGCCTGCCAGCCTTGCGCCGTGCTCTCTCAGCGGAGGGGGAGCATTTCGCTGGGGAAAGAGCGTTCGTAATGATTGAGGTCCAAGACCGCCTGTGATCAAACGGCTTTGTTGTAAAGCATGTCACGGTGAACCGAAGTTAGTTCATCGGCGAACCAATACGCTTACCGACTCACTTTTTAGTGTCCAGTCCTTTTCGAAGCCGTCGCGTGCTGGCCCGCTGTTTCAAGCCATCTATTCGCACTTCTTGTTTCAACGGACATACCACTTCGAGACAGAGACGACTAAAGATCAATGGCTCTCCAATGCCTCCACATGCGGAGTTGAGCGACCTTCCTCTTCAGGTCCAGCAACTAAGTAGTAACTCTTCCCCTCCACATACCACAATGACTCTCATGGTCACACAGATTGTTTTCACGGTAGGTGCCCCGTATTCGGCTCTTGTCCTGTAGGCAGTGACACGGAGGGCGAAATAACAGCAAGACAGACCCGCGCGCTTGGAATCCATCGTCCTGGTTCAAATCTCCGCCACCACCACCATGGCAGCAACATCATTCGACGTGGCGGCTATTAGGCGCCAATTCCCGGCACTCGCCCAGGACCAGGTCTTCATGGACAATGCTGGCGGCGCTCAGGTCCTGCAGTCCGTCATCACGTCCATCTCGGACTACTTGTCCAGGCACAACGTGCAGCTGGGCGCTTCGTACCCGGTGTCACAGATATCCACGACAAAGTTCAACGAGGGCCACATCGCGGGCGCAAAGTACATCAACGCGTCGCCCAAGGAGGTGGTGTTCGGTCCCTCGACGACGCAGTTGTTCCGCAATCTCTCCGTGGCCTTGAAGATCGAGCCCGGCTCCGAGATTGTGCTGTCAAGTCTCGACCACGAAGCCAACCTGGCGCCCTGGGTGCAGTTGGCCGAGTGGAAAGGGTTGACGGTCAGGTGGTGGATTCCGACGAAGAACACGGATTCAAACCCCAAGCTGGAAGCCGAGGACTTGAAGAAGTTGCTCACGGATAAGACCCGGCTGGTCTGCTGCACGCACACGTCGAATATTCTAGGCACCATTACCGACGTCGCCGCGCTGTCAAAGGTCATCCATGAAACAAACCCCAGCACCTTGTTCTGTGTCGATGCTGTGGCGTATGCCCCGCATGCGCCGATCGACGTCAAGGCCTTCGGGGTGGACTTCTACTCCTTCTCGTGGTACAAGGTGTACGGGCCGCACGTCTCGATGTTATATGTTAACGAGAAGGCGCAGCAACAGATCCAGAGCCTGGGCCATTATTTCAAGCCCGGTGACACGCTGGAGGAGAAGCTGGGCCTGGCTGGCGGAAACTACGAATGTATTCAGTCAATCCCCCATGTAACCAAGTATATCGAAACAGTCGGGTGGGATGCGATCGCCGCACAGGAAGAGAAGATTCAGGAGATTCTGCTGTCATATTTGCGCTCCAAGCCGGACCAGATCAAGATCTACGGCGAGCCTTCCTCGGACCGAAAGCTGCGGGTGCCGGTCATCAGTTTCAGGGTCAAGGGCCAGAGCTCGTTGGACATCATCGACGCCATCGAAGCGAGGTCGAACTTTGGCTGCCGCAATGGACACTTCTACAGCAAGCGACTCTGCGACAACGTCCTTGGCATTCCAGATAGTGACGACGGCGTGGTCCGGTGCTCGTTGCTTCATTATAACACTGTCGAAGAGGTCGAGGGCCTGGTCAAAATACTGGACGAAGTTATCAAGGAAGGAGCAGGGAAGCATGTCGAGGACCCTGACAGGAAGAATATTGCGAACTGGTGAATTGCATGTCCCGTAGAAAGATGGGTTTGTGGAAGAACAAAAAAGAACTTTAGTGACAGATATCCGATGAAAATAAATCCGATCAGTGCTAGATTTTATCAAGCACATCTACTTTTCTCCTCACAATTTTTGAAGGTCAAGGTTTGGCTCGAGAAGCGTTCACGTTGTAAGAACTAGTGCTTGCGCAGATCGCATTTTCGCCAGAGCGACTCCGGTCCAGATAACTTGCATTATTTGGTGACTTCTCCGAGCTGGCGTTGGTGGCCCGATATCGGTTGCTCTCTCGACCCAATTCCTTCTTGAACACAACGCATCGAACCCGGAGATCTTGCGCAAAGTGATTGCCCTCACAGCAACCAGGGACCTTACCTTATGCCTCGACCGGCCCCGCCCAGAGTGCGATCAGCTTGCTCAAGGGTGCGCTTGGCTGGACACACACACACACCCCAAATTGGTATCATGCTTGTGCACTAATTATAGTGATAGCTTTGACAAAGACGGTCGGATTTTCATATCTCCAAAAAAGCAGACTTGGAAGGCGTTTGCTGGCGGCGTTCCACCTGTGAGTGGCCATGTTCCAGAAACCGGATTAAAAAGTTCTGGGATTTTTGACGATGATCCAACGTGAGTCCTTTTATCAATCCACAGCAGAACCGAGACGATGAGTTCGCGGCTCGAAAATGACCATTGCTGATCAACGCAAAGCTTGATAGACAAGGATGGCCCGTTTTGTAGACTGTAGAAAAGAGCGCGGCTGGCGCAATGGCAACCACTCAATTGGGGGATTTCAATTCGCCGAACTCTTACCTGGTCAAACGCTTAGCTCACCGGTCTCAATTGTAGCCCGTCCTTGTCCCTTAAACTCGTAACTTCACCCTTCCAATAGATCACTCGTTCGGGCAAGGCCTTTCCGAAGTATGCCAGGTCAAGATGAGTGTGGCTACTCATTGAAGTCCGGAATGGTATAAAATGGAGGAATTGTCTCCCAGGTTAAGCCGGCCGCTGCCATAGAAGTCATTTGTCGATGTTGAAGGCAACCTTCTCTGTGTCATTAGTGTCAAGACCTTGTTTGGATCCTGCAGCATAAGGAGACTTGTCTAATTCTTCAAGCTTTGTAACATGCAGCATTACCTCTCCTCCCTTCTGGGCGCTTTACCTCTAGTGGCCTCCCACGGCCTCAATCGACTTCGGATAGAGGACATAGGGTCGGCGCAGAATAACTGGGCGCACAACACTGGCATTGTGTCGACGTTCTTGTTCAATGCGGCCACGTTTGCAGGTGGCAACCTTGCCGCTCAAGTCCAATTATCCCCCAATGCCAAAAAGACGAGCTCAATCAATCACAACGCCGCCCTCGATGCTGTTTTCCTCAATGTCGCCAGCCCCAATGCTCTTGTCGTTCAGGCGAATGATGTTCTGTTCGGCGAACAAATGTTCAACAACGTCGTGATCAGCCTGTAGAAGTTTGTGGATCAGGGTGCAAGTTTCAGCATGCAAGACACCATTAACCTCGTTTCTGTTATCAACGGCATCCGATGCAACGAGGTGCTGCCGGCAATCGATCAATATTTTCAAGCTACAAAAAAACTTCTCCGGCAAAAATGTGCAGCTGCTTGCTGTTCGACCCAACAACTGCCCCTCTAGATCCAAGAAGAGGCGTGAACTTTGAAGTGTTCTCATGTGCGTTGGAGGTGTCGTGGCAAGGATACGATGACAGTTTTTGTCGTGAGGCGGTTGGCGTGGGTTCTCGTGCTTTTGAACGTCCTTTGAGCTGTTACTCCATCCGCTGGTTCATGTCGCCACCGCAATAAGATCCTCTGGTAGAGCGGCAAACTTTGAACCTGGAATGATCAGAGACATTCTGAGGAGAAATTTGCGACTGATCAATTGAAACCCTTTCCCTATAAGTAAACAGCTGAGCACCCCCCAAGAGTCCCTCGACTCAGCTCGATTCTCTGTGAAGTCCCATTGTTGTGCTTTTGATGTGAAGCAGTGCTGTGACCACTATCAGAAGGTTTACCGAAGTCAGACCCACTTTATCACGTGCGGTATCCACTAAACCCAAAACAAATAATTGTTTACAATGGCTTCGTCCTCTCGATTCTTGATCACCTCCGGCACCTCCTCCTCTCCAAAAGCAGGGTCCTTGACGGAGACTCGACAACATCGCTCCCTTTGGGGACTTTGGTCATGGTTTTCCACCTTGAATAACAGAAACTGGTGGTTCATTGAGGTCCAATTCGGTTTTCTCTTTAAGATGGCAGACGCTGAGAACGTATGACCTTAATCGTCCCAGCCAGAGTATATTGCATTAACCAGAATTCACAGTTCGTCTCGCAACTTCCCCAGCCTACGCGCTATGCGCTTCCATCTCCTCAGAGGCCTCTGGCAGAAGTCACGGCCTCGGCAACCAACTCCCGCAATGCCATGGGTCCTCCTCCAGTGTTCTCCAGCCACAAGCGCCAGGGCTCAAACTGTTTGTATATGCCGGTTACAAGAGATGGAGGATGTTAACGATGCCAACAGTACCTGAACCGATCGCTAAACGAAAGACACTTGTTGAGCGCGCAGGCGAACCTGTCAGAACAATTGCGGCTCCGAAGTCCAGCACTACCACGAGTGCTGGACCCATGTATGCATTTCAGTCTCGGAACCCTTCTACATTCTCTCAATCCTATCGAAGCAACTCCAGAAGCACTTCAAACTCTTCAGCAGCAACCACTTTCTCGACCAGTGTGGGCACTGGCATTCGACCGACTACAATTCACCCAACATCAAATCTCGCCCGACCAAAATCCTCACTCGCAAAAGACAGAGGAACAAGAATGGCCGACTCGAGACCTGCTACGTCACTAGGAACCCGTGGAAGGATTCAGGATGGGCCCAATAACAAATGTATGGTATCCCTTTCTTCCCAACCCAAACCAATTGCTCTTGCTCGTGCTCCCGCTCGTGCTCCCGTGAGGACTGGACCCGTGAACGTACCCAAAACGAATGCTCGAAATATTTCCCCACCGAAAGGACTTGTCTTGTCTACAATGTCGCTCAACTGCAACGTCTCGACAACGTCCATTACAGAGCGGATGCTGGGTCTTTCGTTGTATCCTCAGACACCCACACCCAAACCACATCGCCCAGATACCCCCTCAAGGCTTCCTCGTCCTTCACCTGGACTGTCAACACCTCCAGCAAAAGACTCTTTTACTCCGGCTCCCTTTCCTAAAGAACTTTTGACCACCCCTCGCAAAAGCCAAGCAAGACCATTTCTAACGAAAGAATCGAATTTAGTGGCCTGGGATCCCGAAGAACAATATGGCAACATCGAGAGAATGTATGAAGATGTCTGCAAACACTACAAACAAGCCATGGAAGAAAACATGGAAGCAAAGGAGATTAACAACACGTACAAGTCCACCCTTGCGAATCTTGAGCAGGATCGGAGAGATACAACCGAAGCCATGATTGCGCTTAGATGTGAACTTGAAACTACAAAATTTCGCCTAGAGTCTGCCGAACGAGCAACCCACGATCTCAAACGAGACCAGGAAGCCGAAGTTGAAACTATCAAGAATCAGCACAGAGCGGAACTCGAACTCATTCGCCAGTCCCATCGAGATGATGTGGAGCGTTTGAAAGCGGACCACAGGGAAGAGATTCGTGAGTTGAAACAACGATTGGAGGGTGAACTCGAAAATGAACGTACACAACGAATTCAGGCATTGAGCCAGGTCTCCACACAGGGAGTCCTCGAGAGACAACGACATCAGATGGATCTCGAATCAAAAGACCACGAAATACGGACTTCTCAGCTAGAGATTGAGCGACTCAAGGCGGATCTTGAGAGAGAAAAGCTCCTTAATGATGATCTTCGCCGCAATTTGTCCACCGCAGGCGACAACGCCATGAGCATGGAAACTGCTCGACAAGCGTTACAGGCTAAGATTGAGTACCTGGAATCAGACAGCAAATCTCAATCAGAAGCGTACGCTGCGATGGAAAGAAGAATGAATGAAGCTCTGGAGAAAGCAACAGAGTGTGAGGAGAAGCTTAGGAGGGAAGAAATCCTTCGACGCAAGTTGCACAACCAAGTGCAAGAATTGAAAGGCAACATTCGAGTTTTCTGTCGAGTTCGACCTACCAGTGGAAGTGAGGAGGCCGAAGAGACGGCAAAGATCACATTTCCCGACTCGGACGAAGAAGTCAGAGACATTGAAATTAAAGGGCCTGAGGAAACCAACAGCCTCGGAAAAGTGACGACAAAGACACATCAATTCACATTCGACCGAGTTTTCGAGCCGTCCCAGAGCAACGCGGAAATATTTGAGGAAATCAGTCAACTCATTCAATCCGCGCTGGACGGTTACAACGTCTGCATATTCGCCTACGGGCAAACCGGCTCTGGGAAGACATTTACCATGTCTTCTGAAGACGGCATGATTCCACGAGCCTTACGGCAAATATACAATACAAGCAAAGAGCTAGAGTCTCGGGGTTGGAAATACACCATGGAAGGCAGCTTTGTTGAGGTATACAACGAAGAGCTGCGAGATCTTCTTGGAAAAGACTCTGACTATAACAACAAAAAACACCAAATTCTCCATGACAGCACCACATGTGAGACTACAATCACCGACGTGACAACCGTCAATCTCGACAGCCAAGATCAAGTCGAAGGTATCCTTGCACAAGCGATGTCCCGTCGCTCTGTTGCCGCCACAAAAGCCAACGAACGCAGTTCTCGAAGCCACTCTGTCTTCATTCTCAAACTTGCGGGCTACAACACAGTGACGGGTAAGAAATGCAAAGGCACGCTAAATTTGGTTGATCTCGCCGGATCAGAAAGACTGTCTCATTCGAAAGTCGAAGGCGCACGACTAAAGGAGACACAAAATATTAACAAGTCGCTATCCTGCCTAGGTGACGTTATTGGTGCATTGGGTCAGCAGCAAGCAAATGGCCCATTCAACTCTAGAGAGAGTGGCAATGGTGTGGGATCATCATCCACGACAGGAGCAGGTGGAGCACATATCCCCTACAGAAATAGTAAACTCACCTACCTGTTGCAATACAGTTTAGGTGGAAACAGCAAGACACTGATGTTCGTCATGGTCGCGCCAGAGAAGAAGTGTCTTGCTGAGACGATCACGAGTCTGAAATTTGCAGATAAAGTGTCCAAGACGAAGATTGGAGTCGCAAGAAAGACGGTTGGTGGGAAGTAAGCACAGAATAATGTGATTGAGTCGTTATCATGTGTTGTATCGGTTTTTTTTCTTTTTTAAGCAAGCGTGTTTTTTTTTTACCACGGATGGAATATCGACCTGATGACCAAAACATCTCATGAGAGAGACATGAGAGAAAATGTGCGGCGTTTGACTTCTATGGAGAGGAGAAACTAGGAGAGGTTTCACTCGTTCAGTGCCGCGGTTGATGGAGGCATTAGCCAGTTCTACAATTCTCCTTTGGGATCAACTTGAGTTGAATGGATTCGTTCGGTTGGGTTGGGTTGGAAAGGGCTCACATGCATGGGTTGGAATTGTGTTTGTTTGTATACGGAAATGAGAGCCTCCAAGGAGACAGACGATCTTTCAATGAGAAGAAGCTTCTTCGCTATTGCCAATGTTTCATCGAGGAGTTGTCAACCGCATACGTACGTGTAGTGCCTGGGTACAATAGCTACAAGCACAAGAAGAAATACAAGTCCTGGCACAAATACTTTGTCGAATGAAAAACAAGGGCTTGCGGCCTGTTAGATAAAATCAGGAGTTGCTGTATGTGTCAATTGCAAAAGGCTTCCATTTTGCCAACAAAGAAAAAAGTCCTGATTGATAGATATCCTTCCTTACTTAGCTTTCGTCGCTTACAGACCTATCTCTCCCGGAGGCCTCATTGAATTTCCTTGACAATCCCTCTCGCAATCCACTCCGCGATGCCCATGGTGCTGATCATAGGGTTGACGCCGCTCGCCGAGGGAAAGACACTCGCGTCGGCGACGTACAACCCCTCAGTTCCGAATACCTTCCCATTTGCATCGACGACGCCGGTCTTGATCGAGGACGCCATGCGACACGAGCCCATCTGGTGCGCCGAGCCGGCGGAGCTCTGCTCCGGGCTTGCGAGCCACAGTCTGCGGACCTCACTAATAAAGTTAGAAAAGGACAGCTCGTCCATGGCGGCCGTGGATTTCGGATCCAGGTGCGAAGGCCGGATCCAGCGCTCGACGGGGGCGTGGGACGAGTCGATTTCCACGGCGCCCATCACGAAGGCGGCTTGCATGCCGCCGACCATGCCTTCGAGGAGGTGTCGCCTGTCGCGGGGGGAGGGCGTGTAGGCGATCCGCGCACGCCGGCGTGTCGGGTCTTTCGGGTCGATATACACCTTGCCCGTGTCGGCGTCGCGGGTGATGCAGACAAAGCCGGTCGAGTAGCCGTGTTTGGCGGTGTTGAGTCTATACTCGATTGCCG